TTGAAGGGACTGACTCCAAGTTGGCTAGCCGCAACCAGTGTACTGTCCTCTAGTGAATAAAGGGTGACTTGGTGACGGGGCACTGGCCTCTGTGCAGTTATTTCAGTCACTCAGATCTCTCTGCATCTGAGAACTCTTGTTTTTTTTTGTTCTTTCTGCCAAAATTGACAATTTAACACTTTCCTATTTTGTACTCCAATTGTCAGATCTTTGCCTACTCTCTCATTACCTATCTGATTTTGCAGGAATTCGCCATGGATGGGCTAGTGAACATTGTTGGAGGGTGCTGTGGGACAACTCCAGCTCACATCCGGTAATTGCTGAATTGTTTAGTTTGCTGAAAATAGTTTAAATGCATGATCCTGAAGTGCTTAGGGATGCAATATAAGTTTCTCTATGTGGAAACATTTTTATTTAGTCAACTGCTATGAAGATATCTGTGGGGCAAAAATGGAATCTAGAAATGTGGACAATGTGTGCTTAGGATCATGTAGTGGAGTCAGACTCAGTTGAGGCCATCAAAAGAAATTACATGGTTACTTGAAAAGGAACAGTGTGTAGGGTTACAGAGAGAAAGAGGACAAGTTGCACTAAATGAGATGCTTATTTGGATAGCCAATACAGTTGTTATGGAACAGTTTGTTTTGTAATTCATTTCTGTGATAGCTGTGTAGTACGTAAATAGTGTGACTAAGTTCGCAGGTTGATTCAGCGAAAGTCAATATCACAGATTTTCCACAAGTCCATTTCTGGTCTTGGATTGCTGAACAGCAATATGACCAGTGCTTTCTCACATGGCAGATTAAAATGTCTTTTTAAGAATCTAGACCTGGATACAATCTACCTGCCTTTTGCTCATTTGCGACATTTTATTTGCAGGGAGGTTTTAAGTCTGAGTAGTGCAAGAAAAATACATCTTGCTATTTCCCTCTCCTTTGAAGGTTTAAGTAACTTCATTTCACCTTCATTACATCTGTATATTGGTTTTAAGCATGTAATGGGCAGAAAAATGACATAATTACTTGTTTCAGTATTTGGTGGGCATGAAATTAGAAGAGGATCTCAAAAATATATGAATCCATCTAAGATAGAAATAGGAGAGATAATTGGTATATTCATCATACTTAAAGGTGGGTGAAATGCATTTGTGTGCATTAAAATAAGTCAGCAAAGAGATAACATAGGCAATATTGCACAAATATAAAATTCATTAGAAAAGGGAAATTCATTGGAAATGAGAGGTCTTGCTGATCATCTGAATGCTATATTTAAAAAGGGAACTTGAACAAATCCATGCCCCTGTCTGGACCAGTGGTACTGAGGCGGAGATGATCGACAACATCACGTTCCTGAGAGTGATCATCACCAATAAACTGTCCTGGTCCACCCTTGTTGTCACTACGGTCAAAAAAGCACAACAACGCCTCTATTTCATCAGGAGACTAAGGAAATTCTGCATGTCCATAAAGACACTTACAAATTTGTATTGACGTATCACAGAGAAAACATCTTCTCTGGATGTGTCACAGCGTGGTTTGGCACCTGCTCGTCCCAAGCCCAAAAGAAACAATAGAGAGTTGTGAACATAACCAGTCCATCACGCAAACCAACCTCCCATCCATTGACTTTGTCTATAAATCCCACTGCATCAGGAAAGCAATCAACAAAATAAAAGAACCCTCCCACCCCAGTTATACTCTCTTTCATCCTCTTCCGTTGGGCCTAAGATATAAAAGTTTATATACACATACAAACAGATTCAAGAACAGCTTCTTCCCCGCTGTTTTTAGATTTTTGAATGGACCTCTTTAATGCTAATGTTGATCTCTCCCTCTCCATCTTCTCGGTAGCTGTAACGTTGTATCCTGCACTCTGTTCTGTTGCCTTGATGTACTTGTATCGTACAAGCTGCCTGTAAAGCACATAAGACAATACTTTTCACTGTACCTTGGTACACGTTAGAGTAATAAATCAAATCGAATCAAAAAAGTGGAATCCTTCTTGATTAGAAAATATCAAGACACTGAAAATGTCAAAAGATTGTTCGTACAGGTTTCAAAAGAAGTCATGCTTGACCAAACTTAGTGAATTATTTGAAGAAAAACAGAAAAGGTAAATAGATGTTATGAGGTAGGCATCTTATTTGGACTTTCAAAATACCTTCAACAAGCTGGTGCATGGTAAGCTTGTGTGAGGTGCTATATTTGCTTGCACTAGTCAAGCAAAGAAGGCTTCATTGGGTTAGGCTTGTGTGACAGGATGGGAGGTAACTACTTCCCTAAAGATTTGCTATAAAGAGATCTAGCCCCTGCCAAGAGACCAGCAGGGGACACAAAGCTCAGATTCAAGTATACTGCCAAAAGAAACATGGAAACCCTCCACATCAATCATAACAAGTGAGATGAGCGAACAGTCAATACTAATGGCAATGCATGTTGTGGGCAGAAAACTCCACGTGGCATGTGGTTTCAGTTGCTGCAAAGTAGACTCCAACCCTGCAAACAAAGCATCAGCAGAGATTATTCAGACAAAGAAACAATTTCATATGTAACACTTGACGCAGACTTTGCCTTTCCAGAATTAGCTTGTTCAGTCAATAAGGAGATTGTAACAGGTGATCTTATATGACCTCACCAAAGTTCTGTGAATGCATTTCTGTCACAAATGGAAGAATGGCAACTGCTGGTACATTTTGGTGGAAGTAGTGAGGAGTCCATATACTTTGGAAAATGTATCTAAATTGGGTAGAGGAGCAGAGGGTTTTGAAGATACAATTGCATAAATACTACAATTAGTGACACTGTGTGATGAGGCTCTTAAAAATAGCTAGCAAAGTGCTAGATTTCAGCTCTTGGAGTGTAATTAAGCAACAAGAGATTATGTCAAATTTATTTGAAGCTTTGGTTAGACCAGACTTTGAGTACTAGGAACAGTTCTGATCGCTTGAAAAAAAAAGGCATCGGAGCAGGTGCAAAAAAGATATATTTAATCAGCTTTGGGCTCTCTTTTCAAGAAAAAAGAAAATAGAAGTAACCTGATAAAAATATTTACGATTCTGTAAGGGTTTGAGAAAGGATATGTGGAGTAAATACTTTCACCTGCAGGGCAAACTCAGAGCTCGAGGTCATAAATATAAGATCATTGCTAACCAAATCCAATAGGAAATTCAGAAGAAATTTCTTTACCCATGGAATGACTGAAATGTTGATCTCACTACCATAAGGAGTAATTGAGGAGAATGTATTGGATGTATTTGAAGGGAAGCCAGATGGGGAAAGAAATTTTTAAAAATCCGAATAGGATTCGGCAATAAACATGGGAGGAGGCTTGCGTGGAGCATAAATACTAGCCAAATTACCCATTTCTTTGCTGTAAATACTACACAGTTACAGATTATTCTTATTTAATTAACGTTTTGCATCTTATTTTAGGGCAATAGCAGAAGCAGTCCAAAAATGTAGACCTAGAATTCCTCCTCCATCTGTTTTTGGAGACTTCCTGTTACTGTCAGGTAAATAGACAACCAGGTTGGTATGCTTATATATAAATACTAACAAACCTGTGTTCCATTCAATTGTAGTTCATCTGGAGGGTCAGGTACACACTGGAGCCAACTTTTGTCTTTGGTTGATTGAAAAACTAGATCAGTTTGGAAAACGTAAAGTTTTTACTCTGTTTCGTTTTTGAAGATAGGTTTGCCTTAAGGTACTGACACTAGTTAATTATTAGTTGATGACGTCATCAAAATTGCTCAAATAATGGTCTGAATTTTCCAGTCCCAGATAAGATTGGAGGCGGGGGTCTGGACAAATGGGTGTAATAACTCAGGAAATCGACTGCCGACTGGAAAGGAATATTTGTTTCCTCTTTATTGTTGAATACAAAAATAGAGCCACTAGTTGTGGTGTAGATAGGCTAGCCTCAACCCAGGACACACAGTTCTGCAGACTTATCCCTGGGTCTGCTTTATTCTCTAATCAGCCTGTTCAAAGATGTAATTACACACCTCTGGAGCAGTTGGGATTTGAACCCAGGCCTCCTAGTTCAGAGTTAGGGACACTTCAGTCTTTAGCAAGAAGTGCCAAATGGATGATCCATCTCAGCCTCCTCCACTGGTCTCAGCATTACAGATACCAGTCTTCGGCCAGTCGATTCACTCCACGTGCTATCAAGAAACAGTTGGAGGCACTGGATACAACCAAGGCTGTAGGCCCTGGCAAATTCTGGCAATGGTCCTGAAGACTTGCTCCAGAACTTGCTGTTCCTCTAGCCATGCTGTTCCAGTACAGTTACAACACTTGCGCCAACAATGCGGAAAATTTCCTAGGTATGTCCTGTACTCAAAACAAAAGCACAAATCCAACCTGACCAATTACCATCCCATCAGTCTACTGTTGATCGTCAGTAACGTGATAGAAAGTGTCATCACCAGTGCGATCAAAAAGCACCTGCTCAGTGATGTCCAGTTTGGGTTTTGCCAGGGCCACTCAGCTCCTGACCTAATTACAACCTTGGTTCAAACATGGTCAAGGGAGCTGAATTCCAGAGGTGAGGTGAGAGTGATGTGAAGGCTGCATTCAACTGAGCATTGCATCCAGGAGCCCTAGCAAAACTGGTACCAAAGGGTGTCAGGGGGCATTCTCTCCGCTGGTTGGAGTCATACCTGACACACCCACAATGTCCTGGGATACATCTGATCAGGTGCCAGAGATTCATATACTTTTTTTTTAAAAGAGCTCCAGAACTTCCCCTTCTGTAAAGTGGACTGTTTTCAAGACATTAGCATTTATTTCCCTGGGTTTTGTAGCCTCCATGTATTTCTCCATAGTAAGTACTGAGACAAATTATTCAGTGAGCATCTCTTACTTCTCCTGTGGTTCCACACGTGCACTACCTCATTGATCTTTAAGGGGCTGTATTCTCTCCCTATTTGCTCTTAATGTATTTGTGGAATCTCTTTGGATTATCCTTAAGCTTATCTACCAGACTATCTCATTTTCCCCTTTTTGCCCTCCTGATTTCCCTCGTAAGAATGCCCCTACTGCCCTTATACTCTTCAAGAGATGTGTATCATCTACAGCCATGGGTGAGGTGCCAAAGGACTGGAGGGTGGTTAATATTGTGCCCTTACTTAAGAAAGGCTGCAAGGAGAAGCCTGGGAGCTACAGACAAGGTGAATCTAACATCAGTATTGGGTAAGTTGTTTGAGGGGATTCTGAGGGATAGGATTTACTTGCATTTGGAGAGGCAAGGACTGATTAGGGATAGTCAGCATGGCTCTGTGCATGGGAAATTGCATCTTACAGACTTGGTTACATTTTTTGAGCACATGACCAAGAAGATAGATGAGGGCAGAGCTGTTGACATTGTCCATGTGGACTTTAGTAAAGTATTTGACAAGGTTCCACATGGTAGACTGGTTAGTAAAGTTAGATCACATGGGATTCAGGGAGAATTTGCCAGTTGGATACAAAATTCCTTGACAGTAGGAAACAAAAAGGGTTGTGTTTTAGAGTTTTTTTTTGGAATGGAGACCTGTGACCAGCGACATTCCACAGGGGTCAGTGCTGAGTCCATTGTTGTTTATCACTTATATAAAACAATTTGGATGAGAATTTAGGAAACGTGGTTTGCAAGATCGCAGATGACACCAAAGTTGGTGGTACAGTGGACACTGAAGAAGGTTATCAAAGATTGCAGAGAGATCTTGATCAATGGGCTGAGGAGTGGCTGATGGGGTTTAATTTGGATAAATGCGAGGTCTAGGTCTTACATTTTGGTAAGATTAACAAAGGCAGGACTTACACAGTTAATGATAGGGCCTTGGGGAGTATTGTCAAACGGAGAGACCTAGGGGTTCAGGTACATAGTTCTTTGAAAGTTGTGTCATACGTATGGTGGTAAAGAAGACATTTGGGCATGCTCGCCTTCAATCCTCAGACCATTGAGAATAGGAGTTGGGATGTCATGTTGTGGTTGCACAGGATGTTGGTGAGGGCACTTTTGGAGTACTGTGTACAGTTCTGATCACCCTGCTACAGGAAGGATATTATTAAATTGGAGAAGGTACAGAAAACATTTACAAGGATGTTACCAGGACGAGAGGGTTTGATATATAAGGAGAGGCTGGATAAGCTGGGACCAGTTTCACTGGAGCATAGGAGGTTGAAGGGTGACCTTTATAGAGATTTATGAAATCATGAGCGGCATAGATAAGGTGAATAGTAACTCCGCTTAGGGTAGGGGAGTTCAAAACTATGGGGCATATTTTTAAGGTGAGAGAAGAAAGATAGTAAAGGGACCGGAGGGACAACTTTTTCCACATAGAGGGTGGTTCATACGTGGAATCAACTGCCAGACGAAGTGGTAGATGCAAGTACAGTAACAATATTTAAAAGACATGAATAGGGAAGATTTAGATGGATATGGGTTAAATGCTGGCAAGTGGGATTAGTTTAATTTGGATAACTTGGTCGGCATGAATGTGTTGGACCAAAGGATCTGTTTCCATGCAGTATGACCCTATGACTCGGGTTAATGTCCTAGGCCCGACCGTCTTCAGCAGCTTCATCAATGACCTTGCCTCCACCATAAGATCAGAAGTGGGAATGTTTGCCAATGATTAAACATTGTTCAGCACCATTCGTGATTCCTCAGATACTAAAACTGTCCACGTTCAATGCAACAAGATCTGGACAATATCCAGGTTTGGGCTGGCCAAGTGGTAAGTAACATTCATGCCACAAAAATGCCAGGCAATGACCATCTTCATGTAACGATATTGTGGCTTTAAGAGGTGTATTTTGTCCTGGTTCTTTTATTTTTGAAGAGAGGTTTTGAGCCAGAGGTCGTGAGTTGTCTCTTCTAAGCCAATAAACTAAAGAGTTTATGAAGCCCTCAATTTTGTTTTAAATGGAAAGTTTTAAATGGATGCAGTATGAGTGGGTAGAATCAGGCTCCCACAGAACCAGGGTTTTAGTTTAGCTTTCAGTTGTTGGGATTTCAAAGTAAGCTGTAGAAGCTGTCGTACATCTCTCTCAGCCAAAATTTTCTCTTGGTGTTCTTTTCTCCTAGACAGAAGAAACACTGATATTTCACTGCATTTGCCTATGCCAAGGATTTGTTTATGGGATGTTACTGTATTGGAACAATTGCTATTTCATAGTTAAATAATCTAATATTCTGTTAAGTTTTCTAATAGAGTTAAAGTTATGCCAATTCTTCTTTCTTTTATTTGTATTTTAAATGTAGTGTAAGAATAACTTGTGTATTGCTTTAAGCATTGCTTTAAGCATTGTGGTGTGACCAGTTGAATCACATCTGGAACGCACCACCTTACACTTGCCTGTAAAATAAGATAAATGTTATGGCTAGGCTATCTCCTTGTTATATTTTGAGGGGCTTTGATCTGGTCCATAACATCCAAAAAGAGACAATCTGATCACTTCTCCTTGACAATGAATTACTACTATCAACATCCTCGGGGTTACCGTTGAACAGAAATTCAACTGGACTCACCACATAAACACAGTGGCTACAAGAGCAGGTCAGAGGCTAGGAATACTGTGACAAGTAACTCACCACTTGACACCCAAGAGCCTGTTTGCCATCTCCAAGACACAAGTCAGGAGTGTGGTGGAATACTCCCCACTTGCTTGGAAGGGTGCAGCTCCGACAACATGAAGAAGCTTGACATCATCCAGGACAAAGCAGCAGTTTGTATGCACTGCAGAAATTTACCAAAGCTCCTTAGACAGCACCATCCAAATCCACAACCACTTCCACCTAGAAGGACAAGAGCAGCAGTTACATGACAACATCACTACCTGAAAGTTCACTCCAAAGCTGCTCACCATTCTGACTTGGAATTATTTCCATGTTGCTTTACTGTTGCTGGGTCAAAATCCTGGAATTGCCTTGCTTAAGGGCATTGTAGGTCAACCAATAGCACGTGGACTGCAGCAGTTCAAGAAGGCAGCTTGCCACCACCTTCTCAACGGTCAACAAGGGATGAGCAATAAATGCTGGCCAGCCACCCACGCCCATGTTTCACAAGATGAATTTAAAAAATACTTACCACAGAAGCCCCCCTGGGTCTGCTTTGTTTTATTTTAACCTATTTTTCTAAACAACCTGTTGAGAGATATTGTTATACACCTCTGGAGTAGGTGGGACTTGAACCTTGCCTCCTCTGGTCCAAAGGTAGAGACACTACCACTGCACCACAAGAGCACCCCGGGTCTACTTTATGTAGGGGTCCCAATAAGTTGATCTAATGTATTGCTTCAATGTTAGTAGTTATGAAGCAAATATATTTAATTTTGCGGTGCATTTGATTCATGTTGCAGTGCACAACAGTAGCCATGAATTAGATATTACATAGAAAAATTGATGTAATACTATTTCTATCTTATTCTGCTTGCTTCACTCTGTTGTGCCCCTCCTTACATTTAGCAAGCATCTTAAATTTGTTTTATGATGTCTTCTTTTTTAGGTCTTGAACCTTTTAAAGTTGGACCTTATACCAACTTTGTCAATATTGGAGAACGTTGCAATGTAGCAGGATCTAGAAATTTTGCTAAACTTATAATGGCAGGTAATTATGAGGTAAAGTGCATCTTAACTTTCATTGCTGTAAATGTGTGTTGTTTAAGTACTTAATTCAGTTTCTATAAATCCATAGTGCCTCAAACTGAAAAAGGTCAGGTGCTTGAACATCAACGTTGCAATGCAAAGGAAAAGGATGAATTTGCTTAAATCTCATTTTAGTCTGATACATGGATTACTGTTATACCTGCACATCCCAGAAGGAGTAGGAGGAAGATCTTATTGTACCTGTTTACTTCTGGTAGTCAGTGGACAAATATACAAATTGGGATACATCTTATACGTAGCTTTAGTGCTCGCACTGGACCTGATATTGGAATTACGCTACAGCTTTCCTAACATTGTGCTCCTAACATTGAGCAAAAATGGCATTGTGACTGCATCTGAAGAATACAGTCAGAAAAATAGTAATGATTTAAATTGCAAATCTTAATTAAAGGATTTTTTTTTTAAAGCCATGTAGTAAAGTCTGTGGCACTTACAAAGAAAATGTGCCACTTTTTATAGAACTAAATTACCAACACTTCATGGATGATTGAAGATGGATAGTGGGTTGACATGTTATTTTGTATATAACATTAAAGACTAAGTAGTAGTTACTTAACTGTCATTTGATCCTAATTGTAGGAAGCCTTGAATGTAGCAAAATCACAAGTAAAAATGGGAGCCCAAATCCTGGACATCAACATGGATGATGGAATGTTAGATGGCAAGAGTGCTATGATCAGATTCTGCAACCTTGTAGCAACAGAACCAGATATTGCCAAGGTTCGTACAAAATCGCCTAAAAGCAATTATTACTCTTAAAAATCCAACTGAGCAGGAAAATAATGAAAGACACGTGTTTGACCAGAATCTCTATTTCAGTTGTGTTAATAAATGTTAATTGACCATGTTGTTTCCATGAGCTTAATCTTACTATTGTTGATACTTAAAATGATGAAGACTCTTGTGGCGCTATGTTATTGTCCCTACCTCTGAATCAAAATGCCAGAGTTCAAGTTCTGCCTGTTCCAGAGCATTTCTGAACAGATTGATTAAAAATATCACAAAAGACAGTGAAATGGGTAGACATTTGGCAGATAAAATTAAATTTTAGGGAAGTATGAAGTGATTCATTTTGGTAGGAAGAACAAGAATAAGCAACATAAAATAAAGGATGCAATTCAAAAGGGGTGCAAAAGCAGAGAGACCTGGAGTATATGTGCACAAATAATTGAAGGTGGGAGGACCAGCTGAGAAAGCTGTTCATAAAGCGTAGGGCATCCTTGGTTTAATTAATAAGGGGATAGAATACAAAAACAAGGCAGTTATGATAAACCTATATAAAACATTGATTCAGGCTTGGGTGGAGTATTACATCCAGTTCTGGAACACCACACTTTGGAAGGATGTGAAGGCATTAGAGACAGTGAACAGATTTATGAGAATGATTCCAGGGATGAAGAATTCCGATTACAAGAATAGATGGGAGAGGTTGGCGAACTGGACAAGGGGAAAATGGAGAGGAATTTTGGTAGACATATTCAAACTTAAGACCGGTCAGAACAGACATGATCGGGCAAAACTGTTCCCATCAGTTGACGGATTGAAAACCATGGGACACAGATTTAAGGTAATTGGCAAAACAAACAATGATGATATGAGAATAATCTTCTCCAAGCTGTAGCAAGTGGTTAGGATCTGGAATGTACTGCATGAAAACATGATGCAGACAGATTCATTTGTGGCTTTCAAGAGTAGTTTGGGTAATTATCTGAAGAGAAACAAATTGCATGGTTACGGAGCAGCAGGGAAAAGGCAGGTGTGTGGGACTAGGTGAGTTGCAGTTGTTGGAAGCCAGTATGAGCACAATAAGGCGAGTGGCCTCCTCCTGTGCTGTAACTATTCTATGCCTGTTAAACAACTTAGGCTAACAGGAAGTACATGTATGCTTTTCTGTCAAAGGTTCCATTGTGCATTGATTCTTCCAATTTCGCTGTGATTGAAGCGGGGTTGAAGTGCTGCCAGGGCAAATGTGTTGTAAATAGCATCAGTTTGAAGGACGGTGAGGAAAACTTTCTGGAAAAAGCACACATCATTAAACGCTTTGGGGCTGCTGTTGTAATAATGGCATTTGATGAGAAAGGTCAGGTAAGAGAGTTGAATTAAACAGCAACATGTAGTTATAATTTCCTTGCATTCTTCAGCAATTCTTAGATTTAACTTGATCTTATTAAATTACATTTTTTCAGTTAGTTTTATCATTTAGTTTTACTTTTATTTTCTAATCGGAGAGCAAGAAGTTAATGAATATTTTATTGCAATTTATCAACCTGCACAATGGTTCCAAGAGAAATATGATGGTAATCATTTATCAGGATCTCAGTTCAGGATTCAAGAAATTAAAGTAGGAGAAAAGAGAGTGGTGAAATTATGTTCCGCCTCCTGAAGTTGGCGCAACATCTATTATTGGAATATGAAACAGATGTTTATGGGTGATGGAGCATTAATTGGCTGGAAACAAGACTCCTGCCCCTCACTCGGGAGGTAGTGTCACCTTCAGGGAGCTGCCAGCCAGTGTGATTGGCCAGAAACTCTGTATTTGATTCTATGATTCCAAGTCTTAGTGCCAGGTTGATGGCAAACATGAAGGTCTCTCGACAGAGATGGGAATAGAAGCAAAGGGGAGTGAGGGTTGATATATACAGGTAGTTCTCCTATAACGCAACAGTCGCATTCCTGCGTGACCTGGCACTATAGAAAATCACGCTATAGGGAAATCGCTACAGAACATTATTATACCTGTAGAGCAGAAAGTTTGCGTTCTCCAGATAGTGTCCACTATTCATCAATCGCGTTACAGCCAATTCGCGTTATCAAAACACGCATTATAGCAGAACTACCTGTATTGACAAGAGCATGCTTAAATTGTTGCACCCGGCTAGGGCAGACCTTGATGGGAAAGGGAGTCTATCTGGAAAGGGAGTCAATGCGGGAGGCTCTCACCCCCTTCCCACCCAAGGCTTCAACTGGGTGACCTGCCAGATTTCCATCTATCTCCCTGACCACGCCCACGAGCCTCAAAATTGAGGTCAGGCAGGTGGCCCATTAATTGGCCTCTTAAGTACCAGCTTCACATAATTGAAGTCAGATGGAGGGTGGCATGAGGGCTACCTGTGGAATATTTTGGGATCTCTATATTGCAAGCCCTACATTAGGGGACCTTAAAATTCTGCCCATGAAGTTTATGCTCAGGAGGATGATGACACCTAGTGGCAAAATGCATTACCATATCAAACTGCGCACAGTAAATTCGTTTAACACTGACCCAATTGGCATTGTTTCCCTTTAATGGGGTCTGACATCGCAAGATTCATTTCAACATTGTTTCCCACCAGTCGAACAAATGCCATGCAGCCCAATTGGTGTTACATTGGAGCAGCTTGTTCTACAAATCTCTCCCTGTTCCCAACCCTGTGACTTGAGGTTTCTCCCCATGCCTAATCCACCTGCTTGTGGCTTCCTCCTGTCCCTGACCCTCTGACTTGAGGCCTCTTTAGTCCCTCCAAATTTCTGACCCTTTGACTTAGCCTTTCTCCATTCTTCGTCCTTCTCCCTGTGAATAAATCTCTAAACTGTCCACATGCCTGACCCATCAATGAGCATCTTTTGCTCGTCCCTGATCCTTCAACTTGTGGCGTCTTCAGCCCCTCCCCATTTCTGACCATTCAAATTCTTCACCCAAAGGGTTGTGAATCTGTGGAATTTCCTACCCGGTGAAGTAGTTCTCATTGAATGTTTTTACAGCTAAGATAATTTTTTGAACAATAAAGGAATTTAGCGTTATGGTGGGATTGTGGGTAAGTGGAGCTGGGGCCGTGAAGAGATCAGCCACGATCTTACTGAATGGCAGAGTGGGCTCGAAGGGCTTGTTGGCTGCCTCTTGCTCCTAGTTCTTAGGTTCAACTTGTGGCCCCTCCCCAGCCTATCTCTCCAACCTTGACCTTCCAACTTGTGACCTTTCCCAGTCCCTGACTCTCTACCTTGTGATCATCTTCTCATGATGAACTTCTCACTCCCTGATTCACCCTCTTGCCTTTGTCTCTCAAATATGTATTCCATTCAAGATTCAGATCTGATTGGAAGGCCGAGATCCTGGTTTGTAAAAGTATACAACTGGACTTCATGCAATCCATTTTTTTTTTTAGAAAATTACTGTCAAAACTGCTCCTCCTACCTCTCCCCTCTAATCTCCAGAGCTCATGCTCACAGTCAGAGGGATGAGGACAGAGACAGGCTGCAGATTGGAGAGTCAGGTCGAGGAAGAGACCGGGACCAGGGTAGGGGGGAATTGGTGATAATATGCAGCTTGATGATATGTTGAAAAGCAGGATTGGCTGCAAGAGGGAAGTACTGGAAATATAAATTTACATTCTTTATATTTTTAACTTTATTCAGTTAAAATACATATTTCATTTGTCAATTTATTTCAACTTAAAAACAAAATACTTTTTTTAAAAATATATGAAAGGTCCAATAGAACCCAATTACAGCTTTTACATTGGTTTTAATATGAAAATGTGATTCACTTCAAGTCATGATTTTCAGGAATACAACCGCCACTTTAAGTGAAGATTTTGCACTGTGGTGAAATTCAGTGGGAACATTGTGCCGTCAGGGTTAGGGATGGGCAGGTATGGGAGCTTGCTTTTGAGTGTGCAGTTTCTCAGAGGATCTAGAGTTTACAGGCCATTGGTTTCTGTCCTCAACTGTATGCAAAGATAATGCACCGTCTCTGAAAATTTAGTGCTGTCAATGTTTTAATTCAGCATGTCTCACATCAATCTATCTGTAACATGACATATGTAGTATTACAGGCAGAAATCCAAGAGAAGTTCTTTGGGATTCCAATTGTTTTTTATAGTCTCTTAATGTGAAGTGGTCCAAGACATTGTGCAGAAGTGACTGTATATTTGAGGCAGCTGTTGGTAATTTTGAACGATAAGTTTGTCATGTATGAATTGCAAGCTAGCATTTTGACACAAGCTGTCACACATTTATAAACAAAATGGTCTCAGTTTCTCAAGTTGTAACTTGAAGGGTACAGTGTAATCATGTTCAGAAATTATACTCCAATAAATGAACTATTGCAAGTTAATATATGTCAGTTGACAGCTGAATAGTTAGAGATTAAACAGAAAGAAATCTTAAGTACGGTTTGTGTTCCCTCATTAGGCAACTGAGATTAAAGATAAAGTGGAAATATGTACGAGAGCCTATGCCCTGCTTGTGAACAGGGTGAAATTTAATCCAAATGATATAATATTTGATCCAAATATACTGACAATTGGAACTGGAATGGAGGAGCATAGTCTGTATGCTGAAAACTTTATCAAGGCTACTTCAATTATAAAGGTAAGTGTACATTATCAAGTACTTAAAAATTACAGCAAGCAGCTGAGATCAGAGTATAACAAAATTGAACTGTTGAATAGGTGCTTTATCTCTGCCTTTACAGCAGGAAAAGGTAATGGTCTGATTTCAAAAAAAGGTCAGTATGTGAATGAAGCTGTTCATAAAATGTACAATAGCCAGTGTTTAGACAATGAATCCTGACAAAGCAAATCTGGATCATAAATTATGTTATGGACCAGACCAAACCCCCTCAAAACATGTCAATGAGATAGCCTTGATCCTAACTTTTAAAGGCAAGTGTATTGCATTCCAGATGCAATTTGATTGGTCAAACTATCAGGCTTGAAGCAGAACTCACTTTATTCATATGCTACAAGTAAAATACAGACAAAATAAAGTAAAATAATGGGCTTAACTTTAACTCTGTCAAAATACTTAACAAAATAATAAACAACTCATTAACTGTTTCAATACAGTAACTTCCATAAGCACACAAAAACAGAAATTGCTAGAAAAGCTCAGCAGGTCAGGCAGCATCTGTGGAGAGAAACCAAGCTGAAGTTTCAGGTCCAGTGACCCTTCCTCAAGCACACCTTTAGCAAACGCATTTAGATTGTCTATTTCAGCAGCAGGAAATAGAACCCCAGCTTTTTAGCTGTAGCAGAGAGAGGAAAAAGAGCTTCCACATCCAGCTTCAAGAGGGGTCAGTTAGCTTAGCTGACTGGATGGCAGATTTGCAATGCAGAGTGACAGCAACAGCGTGGGTTAATTCCTGCATTGGCTGGGGTTACAATGGATGACTCAGCTTCTCAATGGGACGGCACAGTGGCTCAGTGGTTAGCACTGCTGCCTTACAGCACCAGGGACCTGGGTTCAATTCCACCCTCGGGCGACTGTCTGTGTGGCGTTTGCACATTCTCCCGTGTCTGTGTGGGGTTGCTCTGGTTTCCTCCCACGGTCCAAAGATGTTCAGGCTGTATGGATTGGCCATGCTAAGTTGCCCATAGTGTTCAGAGGTGTGTTGATTAGGTGGGTTAGAGGGGGATGGGTCTGGGTGGGATGTTTTGACGGTCAGTGTGGACTTGTTGGGCTAAAGGGCCTGTTTCCACACCATAGGGATTCTGTGATGTGACCCCAGCAACTGCTACTGAAAGCTAAACTAAAAATCCTGGTCCTGTGGGAGCTTGACCCCAACCATTTGGCCTTTCTATTGTTCAAACATTTGAAAAAAAAAATCCCCAAGGCTTCTCAATCCACTTAGTTTATTGGCTTTGAACAGCCTGCTCAGTACCTCTGTCTCAACCTCTCTTCATTTTAAAAAAAAAAGGACAAAATACACCTCTTAAAGCCATAGTATCATCACAATTACCGGAGTTTACAAATGCACTTCAACATTTGCTAAAAGAAACCTAATTAAATTGAATAGACCAGCCATATAAATACTGTAGATACAGGAGCAGATCAGTGGTCAGCAATTATGCAGAAAATAACTCGCCTCCTGACTCCCCAGTGTTTGTCTATCATGTATAAGTTACAAGTTAGAACTTTGGATTACTATCTGTTTGCCTGGTTGAGTGCAGCTCCAACAGCACTCAAGAAACTTGACACTATTCAGGACAGAGCAGCCCCCTTTATGGGGTGATTTTAACATCCCTCTACCCAGTGAAAACTAGGTTACATCTTTGCTACTGTCTGATCATTATTTCAGTGATAAGAATGGGTTAGTTCCGTTAATTTGAACTAACTTTTTGGACGCTAACAAATGTTTGAGGGGTCATCTTCATAACGGTCATTGAAGGAAAACTTCACCTTTTGTTGACTTTGTTGAAATCAAGTAGTTAATCTGATCTTAATACTAAGAAGTAACTATTTCAATGTGCATGGCAACACGGCTTAGGTCATGGTCTTTGTGCCTGTGTTTAGCGAATGAGATGTACCAAGTAATTGTTTTGGTTTGACTAATTATCCCATTTTAATCTTAATCCCAATGTTTACTGTCTCACTTTTTATTCCTCATGAAGACTGCTAACTTGTGCAAACCATTCTTTTTAATCTCTGAACAAGCTGATTATATTTGACCTTGATGTTACACCATCCACTCTGTCACATCATATTGCTGTTCCCAATATAATTATTTTAATCAATATGTTCAGACATATTATGACACACCTCTGATGCAGATGGTACTTGAATGTGGACCTTCTGCCTCAAAGATAGACTACCGTTGCACTACAGGTACCCTTCCGTCCTCAATGTAGATATTTTTAATCAACCTGTTCAGATATGCTGTGACACACATCTGGAGGAGGTGGGCCTTGAATCCATGTCTCCTGGCCCAGAGGTAGTGACATTGGCATTGCGCCGAAAGAGACCTTTAAAAACATGTTAGTGGACCAGATCAGTTTTATACCAGTCAACAGTGCTCACCATTAGGCTAGTTTTTTTAAAAATTGGATTCAAGTTTCACAACCTGCCATGAGGCAATTTGAACTAATGTCCGGAACATCAGCTTGGCCCTCTAGATTGCTAGTCCAGTGACATTACTGCTACCCCACTACTTCCTCAAAGATGGGCTTCATTGTGTAGATTTTTTTTAATCAATCTTTTCAGATGTATTATGATATATGTCTGGACTTGAAAGTGAATCTTTCGACCCAGAGATGGGCACACTACCACTGCACCACAAGAGGTGAATATAGTTATTTTAAGTCAGTCTGTTCAGATATGTTATGACACACTTCCAGGGCAGGTGGGCCTTGAACCCAGATGTCTGGCCCAGAGGAACACTATTACTATACCACAAGAGCCCCATTATTAATATAGGTATTTTTAATCAACCTATTCTGACTTCTTATGACACATTTGGAGCATTTGGGACTTCTAGCCTGGAGCAACTCCTGAGTGTTATTCCTTGTTGTTCATATCTAATTCTGTTAATGGGATGCTAAATACTTAAACATTAAAGGTAATGACACAGACAAGTGTTGTGAACTAATTATTTAATTGTATTCAAATATATATGAAAAAAAAGCCAGGAGATGACTTAGTTTTATGATGTGTGGTTGGTTGAAATAAATCTCTAATTAGAAAGTGTATGCCTACATTTTATCTAGTGTAAAGCACTCAAGACTCATAAATAGTATGCTCTAAGTGTTATCTTTTCATTCTAATTATTACCTGTCTTCACACCTCTATTGCTAATTGTTTGTTGTATTGAATTTTTTTCACTAGAGGAAGTTATCTGGTGCTAGAATAAGTGGAGGCCTTTCTAATTTGTCCTTTTCATTTCGAGGAATGGAGATGATTCGTGAAGCCATGCATAGTGTGTTCCTTTACCATGCTATAAAGGTAGAAAATTATTTTTTTCCAATATACCAATTCCATCAGTTTGGATAGTAATATCAACAACTGTTAAATTTAAATATAATTTATGGTTATAGTTTGACCTTTTGTAAAACATAACTATAAGGAATGTTAATATAACTGTGATTATCGTATTAGTCATTTACCTGTTGTAATTTAGTGTGCTTGTTGATCTTTATTCCCTGATGTAATTTACTCAGTCTGCATCTGCAACGTTTGTTATAAATCTCTTTAGGCCGGGATGGATATGGGAATTGTGAATGCAGGAAAGTTGCCTGTCTATGATGACATAGACAAAGAACTTCTGGAGCTGTGTGAGAATTTGATCTGGAACAAAAATCCTGCAGCTACAGAGAAATTATTGCAATATGCACAGGTAAGAATATTGAACAGGAATAATACTTACTTATTGAAATTGTTCATTGTCAAAAATAGACCACTGAATGATACTGGCAGCCATGAGCATGCTTTATTTTGCTAAAATCATCAATTTGTGATGCATATTTTGCTGTTGTGTGCTGTATATAAAAGGGAACTTGTCTTCATCTGACAAGTTGACAAAGCCAAATGTGGAGGTAACTAGACTCATTCAAAGCTTGGATAAAGAGATGATTTTTAATGAGGTCATTAAAAGAGGATGGAGAAGCAGAGAGAAATCAAGTTTAAGACTCAAGCAGCTAATGGCATGGTCATCAATGGTGGGTCACAGGGAGTGAGGGATGTGCAATTTCCATATTCATAGAAGATCATAGAATCCCTACAGTGTGGAAACAGGCCGTTCGGCCCAACAATTCCACAACGACCCTTGGAGCATCCCACCCATTCCCCGTAACACACCTAAGCTACACATCCCTGAACACTACGGGCAATTTAGCATGGCCAAACCACCTAACCTGCACATCTTTGGACTGTGGGAGGAAACCGGAGCACCCGGCAGAAACCCACGCAGACACGGGGAGAATGTGCAAACTCCACACAGACAGTCACCCGAGGGTGGAATCAAACCCGGGTCTCTGGCGCTTGGAGAGTTGTAAGGATATGAGTGAATTTAACTACACAGATGGAAATTTATAAGACCATAAGATATAGGAACAGAATTAGGCTATTCAGCCCATTGAGTCTGCTTCACCATTCGATCATATTCGATGTGTTTCTTAACCACATTCTTATCCCTTGCTAATCAAGAATCTGTCTATCTCTGTCTTAACTACAGTCAATGACTTGGCCTCCATCGGCCTCTGTGGCAATGAGTTCCATAGATTAACTACTCTCTGGCTGAAGAAATTCTTCCTTATCTCTGTTCTAAAGGGTTGTCCCTTCATTCTGAGTTCTGCCCTGGCGTCCTGGTCTCCCCTATTTGTGGAAACATCTTTTTCACGTCCACTCTATTCAGGTCTCTTAGTATTCTGTAAGTTTCAATCCAATCTCATCCTTCTAGACTCTGATCAATTGCAGAACCAGAGTCCTAAACCACTCTTTATATGAAAAACCCGTCATCCTCAGGATCATTCTTGTAAACCTCCTCTGGACCTGCTCCTGCACCAGCACATGCATCCTTAGATATGGGACCAAGAACAGTTCACAATGTTCCAAATGAAGTCTGACCAGACCCTTATACAGCCTCAGCAGTACATCTCTGCTCTTGTATTCTAGCCCTCTTGAAACGAATGTTAACATTGCATTTGCTTTCCTGACCACCAACTGAACCTGCGTGTTAACCTCAAGAAAATCCTGAACTAGGACTCCCAAGTCTCTTTGTGCTTCAGATTTCCAAAGCCTTTCCCAATTTAGAAAATAATCTGTGCATTTATTTTTCCTACCAAAGTGCATAACCTCACACTTACCCGTGTTGTATTCCATCTGCCACTTCTTTGCCCACTCTCCTAACTTAACCAAGTCCTTCTGTAGACTCCCTGCTTCCTTAGTGCTACTGTCCCTCCGCTTATCTTTGTGTCGTTTGCAAACGTAGCAGCAATGCCCTCAGTTACTTTGTCCACATTGTTAATGTGATCCCAGGCCCCTGCAGAACTCCACTAGTCACCGGCTACCATCCTGAAAAAGACCCCTTTATCCCTACTCTCTCCCTTCTGCCAGTCAGCTAATCCTCTATCCATGCCAGTACCTTGCCCTAACCCAATGGGCTCTCATCTTATTTAGCAGCCTCCCGTGCAGCACTTTGTCAAAGGCCTCTGGAAATCCAAATGGGTCACATCGATTGGCTGTCCTTTGTCTAACTTGTCTTCTTAACTCCCCAAAGAATTCTAATAGATTTTTCATGCATAATCCACCTCACCCCGCCCCCCCCACCACCGCCCTCTGACAATGCCTTGCTGGCTCCGCTCTACTTTATCACGCACTCCGCAATCTTGTCCTTAATAATGGACTCTAAAATCTCACTAACAACCAAAAACAGGTTAACTGGCCTATAGTTTTCTGTCTTCTACCTCCCTCCTGTCTTAAACAGCTGTGTTAAAGTAGACATTTTCCAGTTCCCTGGGACCCTCCCTGACTCTAGTGATTTCTGAAAGATCATTACCAATGCCACTGCAATCTAATGGGAAACCAGGCGATGTTGTAGGTCATCAAGAGTAGAGCTAATAAGTGAATTAGGTTACATGGAGTAATGTGCGAAAATAAAAATCCCAGCCCCATTTGATTCATGTTCTCCCCCCACCCGCCTCTTAAAACAAAGAGCAAGTCTCGATGTTCAATCAAAAGCATTGTGGAATATTGCAGCATAGCACTTTCTGCGTAAAAATATGGAGCTTATCAGGAAGAATTGATTTGATTCCAGTCTTCCATTGGCAAATATGTCATTGTGAATTAACCTTATCCCAAAGAATCCCAGTTTACGTAAAAAGTCATAATTAAAATGTTTCTAACAGTAATTATGATACCAATAACAAATGCATTTTAAAATTCTTTAGGAATTTCTCACAATACCAAAATATCCAGTGAAATATGGGTTCTCACACACCATGACAAGCATCTGCATGATAATAGAGCAGTTAATCGTTAGTGCTTATGGTTATAAATGGGCAAAAAGTTGTGGCGTTGAAGGTAGTTGAAGGTAATAATAGATGATTAAATCGATTCATAATATCAGTGGCAAGTCAAAATTCATTATTAAATTTGGAGAACAAAAATCTATTTGGATGGGATTCAGTAGGTACAGTGCTAGTTTTTAAACGTGTTCTAACATTGGTACAAATTTATATCATACTGCTAATCAGTGTTGTGTTTTACCACTTCTCCCCTGGAGAGATTTTGTTCAGGACATTTCCAGCTTTTCTGAGCAAAGAAAAGTTATGCCATGGTTCCTTCATTAAGTACATTTCATTTTACCCAGTTAAACATAAGCAGCAATCTTAAATGGATCCTGAGAAGTCATTGATATATGCTGATTTACTGTGTCTTGATAAACTATACTGTGGCTCGTTGTTTTCAGAATCATACCACTGGTGGGAAGAAAATTATGCATACTGATGAATGGAGGAATGGTTCTGTTGAGGAACGGCTTGTACATGCTCTAATTAAGGTAAATGCTTGAATATGTGTGGGATTGTGGGTGGCACAGCTTGAATGGAAGAGATTTGGGATTTCCAATGGCAATAAAATGTACTATGTAAACTGAAGCTTCTTTTTTTCTTTTGACCTCTCTCTGTCTTTCTTTCTGTCTCTCTCTCTCTCTTTCTTTCTGTCTGTCTCTCTCTCTCTCTTTCTTTCTGTCTGTCTCTCTGTCTCTCTCTTTCTGTCTCTCTGTCTCTCTCTTTCTGTCTCTCTGTCTCTCTCTCTTTCTGTCTCTCTGTCTCTCTCTTTCTGTCTCTCTCTCTCTCTCTTTCTGTCTGTCTCTCTCTCTTTCTGTCTGTCTCTCTCTTTCTGTCTGTCTCTCTCTTTCTGTCTCTCTCTCTCTTTCTGTCTCTCTCTCCCTCTCTGTCTGTCTCTCCCTCTCTGTCTGTCTCTCTCTCCTTCCTTTTCTCTCTCTCTTTCTCACTCGCTCTCTCTTTCTCGCTCTCTTTTTCGCTCTCTTTTTCTCTCTCTCTTGCTCGCTCTCTTTTTCTCTCTCT